GGGAGTTGAGGCCTGGAGACGTCATGCTATTTGTTCAAGGTCACAGGGCTGGAAAACAGTGGGAAAATCTAGAACTCCAGTCTGCGGGCCCCACTACTCTTCCCTTTTCCAATCCTGAGCAGCCCTCTTGTCCAGGAATGAGGGACTAATAGTCTGAGTGACTTGCTCAGTCGTATGGCCCAATGTTACTCTTGCCTCCAGAGAGTGCTCCCCTCCTCGTGGCTGACTCTTCTCTACTCAGCACTTACTGAGCACCTGCTGTGTGCAGGCTCCGCTCTGGGTGCTGGGGAAGCAGCAGGGAACAAAACAGACAAGGGCTCCTCTCTCATGAAGCTTACATTCCCTTCCTTTCCGGTGGACCAAGGCACTCAGGGCAGGGAGGTGGGACAACGTCTTTCTTTCTCTCAGCTTCAGAAGAATCACAGTGAGAAGAGACACAGGCTCACTGTTTACTCTGAGAGCCCAGGTTGGAGAAGATGCCAGAGGTTGGGCATTTGCTCTGGGTCCGTCCCGAAAAGCTCCATGCAATTCCGGGACTGACTCACATGATAGCGACTGAATCTCCCCGCAGCCCGTGGACAGAGGCATGAAGGTGGCTGTATCCTGATTGGGCAGGTGTTACAGAAGTTCCCAGTGCTACTTCCCATGCCTGGCCACCAGCACTAGTACGTGGCTCCACCACCAGGCAGATCTGTGCCTCCTAGGAGGACACTCCTTCCTCCTCCCCAAGCTGCCCACACAGCTGATGCCCTGGATGAGAATGGATGGAGGCAGAAGGGACCATCTCAGCCCCTTTTACAGATGAGGACACTGAGGCTCAGCAGATCTGGCCTGAGCAGGGAAGGGAACCACAGCCTGGCTCACAGCCCTGCTCTCTGCACACTCACTGTGCTGGCCAAAGTGGGAGAAAGTTCCAACCCTGTCCTTGAAACTCTTGTAAATCTTGTACTGTTCTCTCTTTCAGCAGTAAGCATTAAGAAAACTCACGGGGAGAGGTGGGCTAGCTTTGCACCCCCAGATCAGACAGACATGCAAACATCTTATAAAGTGTTGGGCCTGTTCCTGGAGGGCATGGCTCCTCACATGTAAGAGCATCAGGAGTCTTTCCTTGTTGTGTGGTGTTGATCCTTCACTGAGCAGCCTGGGCCAGGAACCTGGTCAGAACAGAGGGTCCCCGCAAACCCAACAACACTGGGCACCGCATTCCTGGTTCTGCAGACTGAGGATGACTGGGAGGCACATCCTGGAGGATGTTTTGGGTCTCCTCAGCTAAAGTGCATATTCTAGACTCAGCTGTCGGGACCCCACGTCTTCCCTCTGTTGTAACCGAGTCATCAGGTCTGGGCACCCCGAGGGACCCCTCCCCATAAGTGCTTGCAGTGGAGAATCTCAGAGGGAATAGGAGGGTGGCGGGCACTGTCAGGCTGGAGAAGGTGAGACACTTGCTCTGTTGTGGATGAAACAGTTGGTGGCCACAGGAAGTCCCCTGGGAGGCGGTGAGGAGTGAGGAGCAGCCCCTTTGTAACTGGACCAAAGTGGGTTGGCTCCTCGGTGAGGTAGAGACAGAGACTGCCCAGGGGGAGCGCTGATACCCACAAAGTTGTCTTTATTGTACAGATAAGGGATCACAGGGAATAATTTCCAAAGCCATGATGCTAAACAAGAGCAAGCAGGCTCTATTGATTAGGGTTGAGACGAATATTCCGAGGGGGATTTTAACACTATAATGAGGTGGAGGTTACTGTCAGCCACTTTCTGATTCATCTGCTCCTTTCCATCTGCATTTCAGTGACAAATTCTAAGCAAACTGCTTGCATTCCCTTACTTTCCCCTCCCTGCAACCCCGGGAAGGAGAAAGGCATGCTGTCCCATGTCACAGAGGAAGAGCCACGCGGTGCCACGACCACCCCTCCCGTGGACTGGCCAGCCTGGTCCCGGCTTCCATGGGGGTCCCGCCGCACCCCTGCTTCCCCTGCACAGTCTGCTGCACAGCCTCTCTGAACTCAGTGAGGTTTGCAGGGAGGCGGCTAGGATGGTTGATACCAAGAGTGAGACCCAACAGGAATGTCGTTCCGGTGCCCAGATCGGTGGGGAGTCACCTGGCAGAGGCCAGAAGGGGGACTTGAACTCAGGCCTGGACCTGCACCTGGGCCCTGCTCCGCGACTCAGAGTTCAGCTCTGGAGCCTCGGGTCCTCCTCTGTGGGATGAGGAGATGACACGGCCCTCCCCACGCTATCAGAAGGGCGGAGGGTTCTCCACAGTGTCACACACGTATCCTTGGTGCTGATGACCACAGTCATGCTTACTGTTCATAAATGCTCCTCTTGTAGCCAAACCCTCTCCCCCCGTGGTGTCGGGTCCCACGGCCAGGGCCTCGCCTGAGCAGACAGTGAACTTCACCTGCAACTCCCATGGCTTCTCCCCCAGAAGCATCACCCTGAGATGGTTCAAAAACGGGAATGAGCTGGCAGCCTCCCAGACCACCGTGGACCCAGAGGGAAACAGCACTTCCTACAGCATCTCCAGCACAACCAGGCTGGTGCTGGCCCCGGGGGACGTTCGCTCCCAGGTCATCTGTGAGGTGACCCACGTGACCCTGCAGGGGGGCCCTCCGCTTCGTGGGACTGCCAACTTGTCTGAGGTCCTCCGAGGTAGATGCCCCTCACCCCCAGCCCAAGCCCGGGTCCGGCCCCCAAGTCTCCGAGCCTGCCCCTCCCCCCACTCTCTGCCCCAGGCGGTCCATTGCCTGGAGTCTGACTCCTGACAGATCCTCCCAGTCACCCTGCACCTAGGTGTACGGTCCCCTCCTATGGTTTTTCATGGCAGCTGGGGGGTGAACACCTATCATGTGCCAAGCACTGTGCTGGGTAGGTCATTTGATTTACCATAGCAATTCCAATTATTGAGCACCTGCTGTAATCCACGCCACCGTGTGCTTGGTGATGTCATTTATTTTGCTGATTATTCTATTCCGGCTGCATGCCACGGGCCGAGTATCTTGATTTCACTCATTCTTACCCTAATAGGAGCTACCAGTCCTTGAGCACCTACTGTGTGCTGGGCACTGTGCTTAGGGATTTCATTCATATGCAAAGGCTACCCTCAGTGTTTGAGCACCAGCTGCATGCCTAGCCCTGTTCTGGGTGATTCCCTTGCTGTGTGGGGGGAGCTAAGTTCTCGAGCCCCTCCCCCGTGATCTGTCTGTTCCATGAGGTCAGAGCTTCTGCTCTGTGCTCTTTCAGTTCCGCCCACCTTGGAGGTTTCCCAGGAACCCGTGGCAGGGGACCAGGTGAAGGTCACTTGCCAAGTGAAGAAGTTCTACCCCCAGCGCCTACAGCTGACCTGGCTGGAGAATGGAAACGTGTCCCGAACAGAAACGGCCTCGACGGCCTCGACGGCCTGGAACCTCATAGAGAACAAGGATGGGACGTTTAACTGGACGAGCTGGCTCCTGGTGAACTCATCCGCCCACAGGGAAGATGTGGTGTTCACCTGCCAGGTGCAGCATGACGGGCAGCCCGCGGTCACCAAAAACCATACCGTTGTGGCCTCTGCCCACCAGAAGGACCAGGGTGAGACCTCAGTGATCCTGTTCCTAGCATCCTGCCCCTGCTCCCTCACCTGACAGTGATTAAGTCACCACGTCTGGCCAGCCACCCCCTCCTCCTGTTCTTTCTCACCTGAGCATGGTCTCTATCCCTTCTAGACCTTTCCATCCTCACCCCAGCAAATGTACGTACCTGCCACTCTGAAACTCTGGAAGGGACCCTGAGGACCTAGAGTTTTGAGTCTTGACCAGGCTCCCGGGTGACCGTGTGGGTCACACCTGGGGTCTCCTTTCTCCCCTTATTTGTGACAGCAGACTGGCGATATTCATGATCATTCCCAGCACACTTACTTTATGCCAATTCCAGTTCATTGCAGGTCTCCCTTCCTGCTTAACCAACCCTGTGACCTGGAATTTTACAGAGGGACTCAGGGAGCAATGAGGGACAGATGGTGATGATATCCTGCCCTTAGGCCAGCTGCTGAGCTAAGCCAGTCTAGGGAAACTTGAGTCCCTGAAGACGGACCAGCAACCTGTACAAAAATAACAAAAACAAACAAACAAAAAAAGCATGTGTTAATTATAGCAGCAGGGCATTGTCCCAAGGAACTATGGAGTCCCCTTTCTACAACCAAAACATTCCTTATTTCTCTCTCATGTAACATCAGGAGGAGGTCGAGCCAGGTTTCCAGGAGTCTTTGTTCCAGAAGTTCTTTCAAAGGCCCATGTTCTTTCTAACATGCCCTATGACATTGTCCTCATGGCTGGGTCAACACTGGGTCAACGAGTGTTCCTGTCCCTGCTGGCTGGGACAACAGAGAGGGGAAGGCAAAAATGAAGGATTTCTCTTAAAGCCAGGGGTATGTAGAAGTTGCATAATTGTGTCTAATAATGGCTTAGTCATGGATGCACTTCCAGTTTCAAATGGAGTCGACAATTGTGTGGTCATGTGATTAATGACATTATTTTTTCTATAAAACCAATACTATCACACTCTTAGTAAAAATAATAATAATTCCTAACATCATCTAAAATGGAGTATAGATTCCAATTTTTCAAAGCTGCTTCTATTAACTTTATTTTGTGGACCTAACTTGGTTTTAATTCACCTGTAAGTGCTTAAAAGAATTTTCCTGTGAAACACCTGCATCTCCACCATTCTTTCTTTTCATTTGAAAAGAATCTGAACAGCTAGGGCTACTCAAATTCTTCATTTCATGTTGGATGCCTGTGGTAAGCTGTGCTTTTGAGAAATTTGGTCCTTTTTCTCTGAATTGTCAAATCTCTGCACATAGAGATGCTCATAATATTACCTGGTTATCCTTCTGATGTCTGTAGGGTGTTCAGTGATATCCCATTTCATTCCTGATTTTGGAAATGTGCCAATTCTCATGTTTTTCATCGTCACAACTGCTAGAAGTTTCTCAAATTTATCAATCTTTTCAAAGAACCCACTTTTGTTTCAGTGATTTTCTCTATTGTTTGTTTTTAATTTCTGTGCTTTTTCTCCTCTTTTTTATTTCCTTCTGCTTCCTTTGGGTTTATTTTGCTCCTCTTCACTTTTTGAAATGGGAACAAAGGTTATTGAATGTAGACTTTTCTTTGTTCACATGCCATGACTGGGCCTCCTTCTGTGCTTGGGGAGTCAGGAGTGTGGAGCCAGGATACCTGGTGTGTGTTCTTCCTCCAGTATGGAAGCATCTAGCCCACCTGCCTTCCTCTTCCACCTTTCAGATTCCTCCATGCTTGGACCGCATGTGATTTCCAGGGGGCAGGCTTGTTCTGAGCCAGGAGAGCAGGAAGAGATGAGTCTACACATTCTCCTATGGACCAGTTTGGGTTTGGTGTTTAGTCTTTGGTCTTTCACTGGGGCTCAGGCCATAGCCATTACTTCTGGTGCTTCCAGGATGTCTGAACTAGGAATCTTCCAGGGTGCTAAGGCTGAGAATAGATTTTAGGGTTGTCTGGGTTGGCAGCTGGAGCTATGTGCAGGATGCCTATGGGATCCTGCTGTGCCAGGATGCCACAGCCTCCCCTGGGCGTCCCAGGGCTCCAACCACTGCCATCCCTTCTGGATCCAGTGGGTCTGGCATAATGACGCACATCTTTTTCTACATGTTTATGGTATTGAGGTATTTCACAATACTTCTAGCCTAAAAGAGCTCCCTTCTCTCAGTATAGCATGACCACGTATGTTACTGGGACTTGGGGATGGTTGGGGTTGGGGATGGTTTGGACCCTGGGAGAGAGGCTCTGAGTCCTCTGATCTTTCTGGTTCTTCTTTCAGGACCCCAAGTTTGCCTCCTCCATTTTTCCTTCTCCCCCTCACCACTCAACTTTGAAACAGCATCTCCTCCTTCCTTTTTGCTTTTACCCCTGAAGTCATGCATTCTAAACCGTGCCTGTCCCTTTTATTCACACCTATCTTTTTAAAACTTCCCTGCCTCCTTGTATTAAGTTCCTCTTGCTGCTGTAATAATTAGGACACGCTTAGGGGCTTAAAACAACACACACTTTTCCTTCCATTTCTAGACAAGAAAGTCCTAAATGGGGTAGCACGACCGGGTTCCTTCTAGGGACTCTGGGGGAGAGTGTGTGTCCTTGCTGCTCCAGCTCCTAGAGGCAGCCCCACCCCTTGGCCAAGGGCCCCGCACCCTCCGACCTCTGCTGTGATCATCATGCCTCCGGCTCCCACTGGCCTGCCTCCCTCCTTCCCTGGGATGGGTCTCTGTGATTAAATTGGCTCCACTCCGAAAGTCCAGGATAATGACCCACTCTAGACCCTAGCTAATTACCATGCAGGCTCTCCTGCCATGTAAGGTACCATATAGTCAGACTCTGGGGGTCCTGGGCCAACTCCCTTTAGTCAGGCATACCTTGAAACCCCTTGCTATGATCTGTGTCCTGATCTTCAGGACACGTTTCCAAATTTTCTCAATTAAACTTGATTTAATATTGGCGGTGAGATTTCCAAATAACTGTCAGGCTCCTTGGCTACCTGCCCTGGTCTGTTTCTCCTGCCCTTTCCTGTGGTTGGTGAAGGTGGGAGGGGAATGGCATAAGGGATGTGCATTTGGATTTGGAGATTATTCTCTTCTGTCTATCAGACATTTTGCAGTTTGGGCATTGATCTTCAAGGACTAGTGAGAGCCAGTTTTCCATAGAATTGACTGTCCTTTTATTGTTTTTCCTCTGGGTTGAGAGGCCGTATTTGGAGATGAGTAGCTAAGCTGTGTGTTGTCCTCAGCAGCCCATTAGTGCCCAGAGGGCTTTGAAAGCCTTGGCCCCAATGTCCCTATCCCACATCTCAGAATCGATCTCCCATATTTCCCCATCAGGGTCCTATTATGGTAGAGCAGGTGCAGTGTAGCTGAGAATTCAATCCTCTCTGTAGCACTGATACTTTATGATTATGTTGGACCCAACTGTGTCCTCGGCTTTTTCTGCCCTCCCGTCTAGGAGGTAACAGTCTGCACTGTTGCCCCTCAAGTCCTCTGACTTTCATACATAACCTTTCATGTGAGATCAGTCAGTCTTCACTTTGCATTGTCTTTCTCTGAAGGATTAATGCCCAGCAACAGCCACCCAACCCGTACTCCTTATACTTACCAACTCCTTTCCAGAATGCCAAGGTACGTCACTCCTCTGCTTACACCATTGCAGGTCACCGTGGTGAGGTTTCAGCAGTGACAAGAGCAGGACAAGCTGGCACCTACCCTGCTGTACCTCCTCCCTGGGCTGGGGGCCTCTTGGCCAGCCAACTGATAAAGACCCTGCTCCAGATGTGCCCATTAGAGCTGGCTTTCTGGACCCCACCCAAACAAACTCCACACATCAGGTGACTTGGGAAGCAGACTCTCAGATGATATGAGAAGGGGGAAAGCTCACTGTGGAGCACTGTGTGATCCACATGTGTGAGAGGGGAATGGAGGCAGAACTGGCAAAGGGAGATGTTGAACACAGTGCAGCCCAGCAAGACTCAACCTTGGACAGAGAGCTGGGAAGCTGATGCTCTTCGTGAGTTGTTTTAAATGGAGAAGATTGGCTAAGCCTCTGTACCCCCGCTTCTTCCAGCCCTCTACTGTAGATTGCCTTCTAGAAGCAGGTGCAAACATGGGCAATACAGCTCTTCCAACTGAGAGAAAGTCCGGGGGCCCACCCAGCTGAGACCTGCCATCCTCCAGCACGCCAAGGGCAAATGTGGCGAGGTCTCTGCTCCTTCCTTTAAGATTACTCCATATATTTCAAATTTTATTTGAATTTCTTTATTGAAATATAAAAGCAAAAATGGGTCATTGCAGAAAGTCAAAGGATCTGAAGGTGTATTTACAGATCCAACCTCTATATCCAACAAACGATGTCAGCTGAGATTGGCACTGGGGTCCAGGTGGGCTGGATGGTGTTTGAAACGCTCCTGAGCATTAGACCCCATTTCCTTGTCTCCGCAGGGTGTTGTCCAGGCAGCAGGCCTCCTGAGGTCAGGTCATCCTGGGACCTCCTTCCTCACCTCTGTACATGGAGTCTTTAAGCCCTGTGCATGGAGCAAAGCAGGGCAGCCTTGCCCCTCACTGACCATGACACCATCTGTTCTCACTCCACTTGAGGCCGGGCTGCCATTTGTCCCTCTTCCCCAGAGAGTTTGGATTTGTCCTGGTCCAAAGACAAGGTCTCAGAGTCATCCTGCAGGACAGCAGTGAGGGATTTCCCTGGGTCTGAACCACCTCATCTTTTGACCCTCTGTAAACTATGAGCCTGTTCCCTCATCAGAAAGAGCGTATACAACCTGCCCTATGGGTGTGAGGACCAATTCAGTAAACCAAACTTACACGTTACTGAGTGCTCATTCTCCCCCACCTCTTCCCTCAAGAAGGACACCTGGCAGTAAGAAAGGGGTGAGTGAGATGAAGAACTTCTTGCCCCAAATCTACCTTGAGCCTGAGTGCAGGGGAAGAGATTCATGAGCTTCAGAGCATTGATAAGCTTGAGTTGCTTCAGAGAGAGTACGTGGAGGCCCCAGGGAATGGACTCCTGGGTCCCCCTCTCATGGTGCCTGTGTCCATTCTTTTCCAGACCCAAGGCTATCTACTCCACTCCTGGTCACTGTCACCCTGGGCCCAAAGCTGCTGCTGCTCATCACTGTCTCTGCCATCTATGCCCACAGGAAGAGAAGGCTTGCATGTAAGTTGTGGGTCAGGGATGGCAAGCAAATTTCAGTCCCAGAAGGAGCCAGGTCAGGAAGATGGGCAGCACACAGGTCACACAAAGTCAGCACCCGCCTGGAGTAAAGAGCAGGACACATCTATCTCCATACCCTCAGGAATCTGGGATCCCTCTGAGATGTTCCCAATTCCCAAGAAGTATGTGGGGATCTGTAGCAGGTGGGTGGAGTCAAAGGCTATCAAGGGATTTGCACAGAGTCTTAGCGATTCTGGGAAGGAAGTGGGCAGGGGGCTGAATGAGAGGCAGCTGGGTGGGAGGAACCCTTGCAGACAATCTCTAAATTATTTGAGCACAAGGAGTCTGCATTTAAGAGAATGCTGACAGGTGTCGGATGGCGGCTCTAAGGATGGCTCCTGCCTGACCCTCTGTGGGACAGACAAGAGGGAATGGGGATGGGGATCAGGCCCTAAGGGATGAAGGCTTAGGTGGCAGAGTCCTATATCAGGGGTTGTCTGTCCTCTCACAACAGGTGTCCCAGGAGGAAAATAGCGTGGAGGACATAGGAAACACATGGGGAACATTTCTGGAATGATGAGCAGATAATTAACTGTGGTGAACATGGGTCCTACAGCACTTACCTTCCTCCCCTGCTACATGCCACCCTCAGTCTCTGCTGCCTCCTTCCTTCCATGAGGGACCCAGCCTAAGAGAAGGAACAACTAGAAGCTTCCACAACTCTGCTCCAAATGCCTTGCTTCCCGCAGAGACCCAGCTGCCCACACCTCCTGCTTCTCCTTCTCAGAGTCTTTGATGCCCCCAGAGCTGGGTCTTCATACCAGGTCCTCAGCAGGGACCATGGGAACTTGCTCTGGGGACTGATGCAGAGACTTGTGAGAAACAAGTCACATCTACACAGACCAGGTATCTCTCATCATCTCCTGGGGACTGTGGCCACAAACTACACACTTATGTCCATGCTCTCAGGAGTTATTCCTGCCAAGCCCCAGCCTCCCCAGCCTTGGTGAGGTTCTCCATTGGGTCTTAAATAGAATGCATCCGAGGTATCTTATGGTTTTTTGTGCTATTGTAAATGGAATCATTTCCCTAATTTCTCTTTCTACAGTTGCATTGTTAGTGTATAAGAAAGCAACTGATTTCTGTGCATTGATTTTGTATCCTGTCACATTACTGAATTGCTGTATGAGTTCTAGTAATTTGGGGGTGGAGTCTTTTGGGTTTTCCACATAAAGTATCATGTCAT